CAAATAAAGTGAAAATTTTTTTACATAGGCAAAAACTGATGATGAATCTAATGGGTATACTTTTGAGATCTCTAGAGGGTCTTCAAGGGGTCTCTGGAAAACTTTTCTCCAAAAATCATAGTATAACAATGTGTCTAATAAGACGTGTTTTTGTTTAAGGTATTATCGTTCTCAGCTCACCTAAATAGATACCTAGAGTAAGTAGGCGAAGAAGTCAGAGACAAAACGCATCGTTTCGTCGATAGCCAAATACGAAGACTTCAGATCCAAGTGATTCGTCAGGTGATGAATATGTCATGGATATTGATGCTGAAGAATTAAATTTTAATGAAAAGATTTTATTAACCGATATTGGTGACCTTGCTGAAATGTGCAAGTTGAAATGTGGAACGAAATATCTTAGCATTTTGGTTTATATGTCATTACGTTTCTTCGACATTAAATGGGAAAATGTCGACGAGTATTTGAAGAGTATTGGTTTTATGAGCGCACAAACTTCTCATTAATGGGCAATAGTGTTTAGCAAAGGAGATTATGAAGAGTTTTCAAATGATTTACGTGGTGGTAAACAAACTGATTCGTTTTATGATACCTTTCCCGAGATTGAAGCAGATACAAAAGCATTTGTCGTTCAAACGTGTTCACAAAAGTCAGGCGAATTTAAGGCTTTGGATTTGGCTCAGTTTATTGATGAAAAATATTATGAATTACCAGAAATTAAAAAACAAATTGGCGATGATTTCATAAGATCGGAAAGAAGTTGTCGTCTTGATCTTCGCAGACGGGGAGCTAAATTTGAAGCAAATTCACAACGCCCGTATTTTGAAGGACATAAAAGGGAAGATGTAGTATTGTGTAAGGTAAAAAGTTGTTTTTCGTGATCAGCAACTCTCACTCTATCAAATGATGTAGAAAAAACGGCAAAAAAATTTTTTACTTGAATTTCCCATTGCCAGCACCTTATAACTGTTTGATATTTGTACATTAAAAATATAACGTTAGAATTCTCGCCTACAATAGCACAGAAGCTTGAAATTTTGCAACGGGATATGTCTTTTGTTTAAAAACTGATTCTTGTATGTCAGCTAAGCAGGTATTAAACACTTCAACGCCTGTGAAATGCGTTAGTCAACTCTGAATGGATTAAAATGCCGCAGAATTTAAAATGAATGCAAAGAGGTTGAAATTTCTGATGATTATTTAGAGGAGGCTGTTTTCAACCTGTACGAGTTTAAAAACTTGGTGCTGTAGTGTTCATGTCCATTCACTCTCATCATGCCATCGCAACACAGTTTTGAACGCGTAACAGGTTTTTAAACTCGTACGAGTTCAAAACAGCCCATACTAGATGCACTCTTTTCCATGCAGCGTTTTTTCATCTCGTTATAAGTACGGATTTAACATGAAGTCGATGTTTGTATGTATATTTACCACGAAACTGAAGCTTTATTGAAATTACGTGACCAATCTATAATACCCAAGCATGAATTCGCAAGCGAAAAAATCTAGATACACTTGCTGGGGTATCGCCCGATACTCCAGCAAAAGTATCTAGATAAAAGAGTAAAAAATATCGGGTTATCTAGATGCATCGAGTTTTACTCGATTACACGATGCAACATCCGATGCATCTAGTAAGAAATTATGGTTGATAGAAAACAATAAGAACTAGGTACATCTAGCGATTAAGCGTAGGGTTCGTCTTGTTGTTTAAAAAAGAGAATCGCTAGATATAAAAAGCGATATAATTAGTTGTAGGTGAAAAAATCGAGGTGAAAAAAAAGGAAGAAAGAAACACAGCTCGTGCAGAGATTCGAACTCTGTATCTAGAGATCAGTAGTCTTCTATCTACGCCATTGTACCATACGACCTTACACAAATAGATATACATTTTTCATTCTCTTCTTGTTATTATGGATAGAAATAACACTAAATTTAAAATAACCAATTAACAATAATATTAGACATGACATTTATTAGACTTGAGTCTGGAACATGAAATGCTGGAAATTTAATTTCTTAAAATTTTTCTACTGATGTTGGGTCTCTAAAAGTTGGTCTGCAAACTTAAAAATGGTGTTTTGTGCTTTTTATCTTGAAGATCTAGTTGTACAAAGCTGAGCCTGGCAGATAAAATTTAGAAAATTAAATTTGCCACACATTCTGTTCCAAACTCAAACTTGAGAAGTACTTTGTTCGTGGTGGGAAACTGAAAATTAGCTTTAAAAAGGTGTTTTTCCCGAATTTTCACTGTGAAGGAGATGTTTTCCAAACTTGAGCCTAGAAGATGAAATTTAGCAAATTAAATTTCCTCAATTCTATCTGTTAGGCTCAGCTTTGTACAACTTAAGCTTCACGGTGCAAAATGATAACTACTGTTTCTCCTCATTTAGAACAAGGTGATTTCTCACTAGTTGCATCTAGCTGGAAATCGCCTTACACTAGATGCATCCCTCGATTTTAACGATAGGATGGAATGGAATTGACTTAAACCGGTGTTCAAGCAGATGAATCGATCGATATATCCCACGATGCATCGCCCAATACATTGTACGATGTATCGGCAGCTTTATCGGGCGATTTCACGCGTGTCTCATCTGCAGCCGATATACAACTAGATTCATCTTCCGATATATTGCCCGATGAATCGGGTTAAAATCGCTACTAGATACATAACTAGATACATCTAGAAAAGAATCGGCTGTATCTAGATGTATCGGCCGATAACCCGATTCAACTTTTTCTCTTTTTTACGCATCTAGATGTATCGCGTTTTGTATCTAGTATATCTAGCTGCATCGGGCGATACCCGATACATTTTTTATGCTTGGGTATTAATCCCAATACACAGTTGTTTCAGATCGTTTATTCCTTTTCATTAGTCATGGGATAAAATGATATCACATAATGTTATGTTCTCAAGTTTTATCTTTTAAATAAAAGTTATACAAAAATGAATCAATATATTAACTATCATTGTCAGATTAAAAGATAAACCATCATTTACAAGCTAGAATCAGTTAATCTTTTATCATCAACAACTTCAAGCTATTCAATTTGAATAAACTTCTGTAGCTCGAGATCCACAAGGATATTGACATGCTTGTGATCAGAGAAAATAGAATACTGTCAGTTTAAAAAAATAAGGCACATGAATATATTTTGATAGAAATGAGACGTTCGATTTTCACCAATCAGTACTGGACAGACAAGGGCAACTTTCCACAGGCCAAAAGAGTTTCTTGAGGCCTCCATCCCCGAGGCCAGAAACCCATATCAGTCCAGCGAGGTCTGATCTGAATCTAACTTTCAGAGAATGTTAGCCGTGTCAAAGTGTGGTAACGAAATTTTTTTTTGACGCTACTTGCAAATGTTAGTGCCACAAGAAGGACCAAAAATAGGCTTTTATCACGAGCAAGAATACTCAAATGATAGAGAGCTCGGATTTGTTTTGTTTTGCGGTAGACACGCTTAACAATATAGAAAATTTACTTTAACAATATTTCCACCAAGAGAAGCGGTATCACTTAAGAAAATGTATAGTTTTTCTGCAGCACGCACGATAAAATAGCAATTATCTTTTCTTTTTCGACTTTGCGTGTATCATTTTAGCATCTTCTTACAAATAAGAGTCAAATTCCACATCCACTTCTTCATAGCTTTCATTATCACGTAAGGTCAAATTCCAAAATATTTCCAAATCTTCATGGTGCCATTCATCTTGAAATTCAATAATCACTCTTATTTCGAATTCACCCCAACCTGTTCGTGTTATTTCAAATGGAGAACGATCAAGAATAACCAATGGCGGGCTAAACGTTTTGTGTAGATACACTCGTATTCGCTTAATATACGTTTCAATTGAATCTCGGTCACTAGAAGGAGGTCTGACAAAAAATGTCCATTCAGATGTATTACCATGTGCAGTTTTACGAGTTAATTCTTTGTGAGTGTTACCGATTAAAAACGTTTTTCGTAAAACACCGCTTTTGCTCTTATTGCTTATGGCTAGATGTGCAAATTGTTTTGTTGGTAATTCAGGAACTAAAAGCAGAGATTGCATGATAAGGTTTATGTCGAAAACGGCGGATAGTCGGCCAACTTTTCTATTCTTAGAAATGCCGAAAAAACACCTATCTTAACTTTTCTGTTTTCTGACTCAAAAGTTAAACATATGTATGCGAATTTGATTGCATTCTAGTTATGGTTTAGTAGAATAGATAATTGTGTAAAATAAGCTATGTTACATCTAAAATCTATCTGATTTGGAATAGTTCATTTTGACGAAAGTATGTCTCTATAACTGGGGGTAGAATTTTTTTGGCGGGTTTAAACAAAAATCGAAATTTCTCTCTTCTTTGAAGAAGAGAAGCAAACGACTTAAAATGGAAAAATATCAGTTTCTTTTACTGTATATTAGTAGCCGTTATGGATACAGAAATCTAAGGACGCCTGCGTCAGCTACGTCCATGGTAAGAATAGGTTCTCCCGCGGGTGCTCCTAAACACATTCTTTCCGCCCATCGAACTTTTATACGCTCATGCGCGAAAGCGAAAAATCTTATTTTTTTCTTAGAGCATAGTCCGCTTGTAGCAAATGTCTCTATGCTACACGGGAAACTGCACGAGGTTCATTCTTTATTCTGATTGGTTATAAATGGTAGCCTCACTAATTTTGCTGCCCTACCGAAACCAGTTTTTCAACTCAAACGATTTGTCTTGTGAATTCTTTTTCGACATTCAGATTTCAAAATTAACGAACTACCACCCTAAATTTTTGGGTACACTTCGTCTCTATCAGCTAACCTGTAGCAGAATTGTACAGTTGATCTTCACCGATGACTGAGTTCAAATGATCAACCAATTTGTCTATTTTCATTTCAATACTTTTTTCTGTTGTATCACGAAAATCTACCCATATGAGTTTTGCGGTACACATACCAAGCCACGATGATGGCTTCCAATCGCTGCGAATTCGACATGGAATTATCGGAACGTTTTGTTCATCAGCATACAGCAGTTCTTTCTGACAGTTTTTTGACTCTTGATATTCAGGTGTCATAAAACAACAGACAGCCAAAGCGTTCTCAACTCCGTAAGCCATACTAAACATAAACGATAGCTAGAGTCTTTTATATAGAATCCGCAGTCAGGCTTCGTCTCTCAGCAAATTTCATCATATTGAATAAGAAATACGAGTTTTTAGAGTACTAAATGTTTTGATTTCTTTTAAAAAAGTTATTTAAAACCTGCTCCGTTCTCAGAAAACTAACATACAATGTTAGTAATTTTTTTGCATGCGTAGATAGTTCGGACATTACTCTACAAAATTATGCAAGTCCCGGCTCTCTAGCTATCGTCGTTCGGGCAGGATTCGCTTTCTCCGAGCAGACATCTCTGAGAATCTCAAAATGCCATGGACTATAGGTAACCGACTACGCTGAGCATAGTAGCAACATTTGTTTTTGTGTAGAAATGAATATAACTTCGCCAGAGGCATTGTTGTGAAAAACCGGTTTTTCGCCTGTTACTAGCAAAAATTAAAATCCTTATATCTCG